ATAATTTTTTTTTCATTTTGTTTTTTTTTTTTTTTTTTTTTTTTTTTTTTTTTTGAGTGTGGGGGGGGGGGGGGGGGGGGGGGTAAATAACAGGAGAGGGAGCTTGTCAATGACCTGCAACAGAGAATGTTTTCTTTTTTTTGCCATTCACAAAATTCATGTGCTGGCCTACTAACTAGTTTGCAGATACACAGTCTTCACACTAACAGGACTTAGTTCAACCTAACATTGCTATGAGGTGAATATAGGCACCAGCTTTTTTGTGCCAGATCTCATTGGCATTCAGTGACGGTTATAGACTAGTCTGGCCTGATATCCCCTGCCAGCCAAGCTGGATTGCTAGAAGAGGAACTACCAGACAAACAAAAAAGGTCTTCAGTTGGATTAACTCAGTATGTTTAGAGTTCTCACCAACAACTGAACTACTTCTCTCTGTGTACTTTTCCGTTTTCCCTTCACCCTTAAAGAAATTATTGGAAAAACAACCATGTAAAGAGTAGATTTAATGGATCCTGTGCACCCATGGCAGAGTAAGCAAACACGTTTGGGGTATATAATGATATAATCTAGTAATATATTTTGTTCAAAAACTATTTATTTATTTGTTTATTTATAAATAATATCCAACCAAATGATATTTGGAAACATATTGGAAAAAAAATGTGTTGTACAAACAATCTTCACTCTGAAATTGCTAGAATATTTTTTTACAAACAAAGAAACGGTATGGAATTTTGAAGAAGAAAAACAAAAAACAAATTTTTCTTGTAAAACATACTGCATTAATCTTTGTTTTATTTACAACTTTGAAAAATCATTTTATCATTAAATCATTAAATAAATGTTTTTTATTTTTTTCTTTCTTTCTTTCTTTTTTCTTTCTTTAAACACTAAACTAAATGGAATGTGGAAGCAGTTGTTAATGACTAATTCACTTCAGTATTTCAGTAGTAGTTCAGTCATTTATTTATTTTAAATAGCAAACCTTTTCAGACCTTTTCTCTGAGCTATTTCATATGTTATGCAATACAATTATACAATTAGTGGATTGCCAAGAAATAAATATCTATTCTCATTTTTGGGTGAACTGTTCTTTAAGTGTCTGAATACTTTTTGGGGCCACCAAATTTTCCACTGACTTTCAAGAAAGATACTTATTATTTTTTTCTTTCCGTACACTTACTGCAGTAAAGTAGTGTTTATATTTGTTACTTAACAATCTCTATTGCATGAAAGAAGCTTAAACAACTAACTGCCCAAACTGTGTCCTGACATGTTTTTACTGTGAATGACGTGACGATCATTTTCTCTGTGCTGGCTGACCTACTGGCTGTTTGAGAAGCTGGAAAAGTCTAGATTAGAGAAAAATGTCAGAAGTATGAGATGGAAAACACTGTGTATGGAACAACACTCATGCTGAGCTGTTACAGCATACACAACTGTGTTTCCATTGAGCCACTGTACCATCAACTCCCCTTTTGTGTTGTTTGGCAATAATTAAGTGCTTAATTCTAGTAAAGCCTGGGTGTTGTTGACCAGCTGTATGACTGTGTTGACCATGAGAAACACTGGGAAGTTCCCAGCTCAGTAGCACAGACAGATGAGCAGCTGGGGCGTGCTGAGGCTGAGACTGTGGCTGAGATGAACCAAGGCTGCAGGGAGGGAATATCTTTTTGGCTATGTTTGAGTGTGTGTGCGTGTTAAGGATCGCGGCAGTACTAGGAAAACCTTCAACTGCAAAGTATTGTAGGGAATGTTTGTAAAGAGTAGATTTAATGGATCCTGTGCACCCATGGCAGAGTAAGCAAACACGTTTGGGGTATATAATGATATAATCTAGTAATATATTTTGTTCAAAAACTATTTATTTATTTGTTTATTTATAAATAATATCCAACCAAATGATATTTGGAAACATATTGGAAAAAAAATGTGTTGTACAAACAATCTTCACTCTGAAATTGCTAGAATATTTTTTTACAAACAAAGAAACGGTATGGAATTTTGAAGAAGAAAAACAAAAAACAAATTTTTCTTGTAAAACATACTGCAATAATCTTTGTTTTATTTACAACTTTGAAAAATCATTTTATCATTAAATCATTAAATAAATGTTTTTTCTTTTTTTCTTTCTTTCTTTCTTTTTTTCTTTCTTTAAACACTAAACTAAATGGAATGTGGAAGCAGTTGTTAATGACTAATTCACTTCAGTATTTCAGTAGTAGTTCAGTCATTTATTTATTTTAAATAGCAAACCTTTTCAGACCTTTTCTCTGAGCTATTTCATATGTTATGCAATACAATTATACAATTAGTGGATTGCCAAGAAATAAATATCTATTCTCATTTTTGGGTGAACTGTTCTTTAAGTGTCTGAATACTTTTTGGGGCCACCAAATTTTCCACTGACTTTCAAGAAAGATACTTATTATTTTTTTCTTTCCGTACACTTACTGCAGTAAAGTAGTGTTTATATTTGTTACTTAACAATCTCTATTGCATGAAAGAAGCTTAAACAACTAACTGCCCAAACTGTGTCCTGACATGTTTTTACTGTGAATGACGTGACGATCATTTTCTCTGTGCTGGCTGACCTACTGGCTGTTTGAGAAGCTGGAAAAGTCTAGATTAGAGAAAAATGTCAGAAGTATGAGATGGAAAACACTGTGTATGGAACAACACTCATGCTGAGCTGTTACAGCATACACAACTGTGTTTCCATTGAGCCACTGTACCATCAACTCCCCTTTTGTGTTGTTTGGCAATAATTAAGTGCTTAATTCTAGTAAAGCCTGGGTGTTGTTGACCAGCTGTATGACTGTGTTGACCATGAGAAACACTGGGAAGTTCCCAGCTCAGTAGCACAGACAGATGAGCAGCTGGGGCGTGCTGAGGCTGAGACTGTGGCTGAGATGAACCAAGGCTGCAGGGAGGGAATATCTTTTTGGCTATGTTTGAGTGTGTGTGCGTGTTAAGGATCGCGGCAGTACTAGGAAAACCTTCAACTGCAAAGTATTGTAGGGAATGTTTGCAAATGCAATTAACAGCAGGAAAGGCATATCAACTCAACTTTTTGGACTCTGATGCTTCTGTTGTATCAGTCCTTTTGAAATCAGTTGTAATTTGAGGAACACGCCAGTGGATGACATTTTAGTGATGGGAAGAGCAGTGTACAGTCTGATGAATCAAATTAACTGACCTAATGTTTAACTGACCCCCAAATTAACTGACCCCCTTCCCTCCATATCTCATCCTTTCCCGTTCTCCCTTGCCCTGTTGTTCCGATCACAGATGACAGGAAGAATTCCAAAGGGCAGCAAATGGAGTTTAAGTCAAATCAATGGTTTGGGGCCACTGTGCGTTCCACTGGGGACCATATTCTGGTGAGTCTGTCTGTGGAAGGTGTGAAATTCGCTCTGAAAGAAGATTGTACAGAGCTCAAAAAGATTATTCTGCAACAGATCACATTTTTGCTTTAGGGACAGTAAAAAATATTTTATTAGCAAAAGCAGTTTTATATGTGTCAGAAATCCCAGATTAAAGTCAGTATGTCAAATTGGAATTATGTAGTCTTTATTGTAACGTTGTAAGAAACTGTTGACACTTTTATTTTAAAGTACTTTAGTCTTGTCTTTCAGTGCTGATATGGCACTAAAAATAAAGAAGTTTTTAAGTAAGTTGCAAAAATATATGTCAGCAGATATTTTCCGACATGCTGTTTGGAAGAACTGGGTTTCAGATGGTACTCAACACAGCTGATTTACAGAAAGATTATGATTACTACTCATGCACTGATCTGCACATATCTTTATTTTATTTTTTCTCCAGGCATGTGCTCCTCTCTACCAGTGGAGCACGTATGGATTCTCAGAGAGAGAGCCTGTCGGGACATGTTTCCTGAAGAAAGGCAATGACATTGTGGAATATTCACCTTGCCGCTCTAGTATGTACATGATCACAGCTTTTTACCTCTGGCTGCTCATGTCCTTATTGGGTCACTCCCTCAGAAATGTCTTAACTAAGATTCATGGGATATCATACTTGTGTATCATCTCCAAATCACTCATGGTTTTTAAGACATGTCTGAGTTAATAAGTTCTCACCAGACAATGTGCCAGTTGTCATATGGTTATGAGAGTTCCTCTGTCTGTTTACCTTCCTTTTTCTAACCTTTCCTTCATGTTGAGACTTCCTTAAAACGATTTCTGGTTTTTGTGAATATATGAATGGCTTTGAGTATTTTTTTTCCCCATCAGACTCAAACTCACCTGAGGGGCAAGGATTTTGTCAAGCAGGATTCAGTGCTGACTTTGTGAAGGTATGATATGTTTAGTAGAAATCTGATTAAAAATATTAGGACAGGTGATGCCTCATTTTCATTACATCAAAAAAATTTTTTAATAAATAAAACTTTCTTTGTAATTAAATTGTAATTATTTGTAATAAAATTGTTTTAGTTATTTAGATAATCGTTTAAAATATAATAATCATTTCAAATATAATAACATTTAGTATGATCATCACCTTTTCTTTTATATATTTTAATAAGTACGGGTCAGAATAAGTATGTTGATTCATTTGAACATAAGTATATCTGTTTTGCTGAATGATGATGGAACATAATTTCACCCATATTTTGACATTGAATTTTTACAAAAGGTATTTGATACATTTATATAGACAGTTGCATTTAATTAGCTTTTTATGTATATTAAAATTGGTGCAGTTTCATCTTGGACCCATATATAGCTGTGTATGTTATTGCCTATTCTTGTCCAGACTTGTACTAAATGTACCAAAACGTGTTTTTATGTCTCCTTCAGAAGAATCGGGTTGTTATTGGAGGACCAGGAAGCTTTTATTGGCAAGGTAAACCGATTTATTTTATTATCCCTCTGTGAATTTAACACCGAAAAGCATAATGGAAAAAAGAGAAACAACAATGTGCTCTGTCAGGATTTTTTGTGACTCCGAGAATGTCTGCTGTGTCTTCAGATATAGCATTCGCACAAAACAGGCCAGTGAATGTTTGCACAACATGGGCAGTACATGTTTAAATTCACAAATGTGTCTTTGGCCCCCGCCTGTCAGAGAAATGCTGCTCAGACGAGAGGGAGCTATGTTTTTGAGTCAGTAAATAATTCAAAATTATATGCTGTCTCCTTCAGTGAAGATGCGCCTGATGTTTCATTGAAATGATTTGTGTTACGCTGTATGCTGTTGAGATGGTTGTTTACTGAGTCACAGCTCTGTTATGACCTCATAGGGTGGGGTCATGGTAGGAACCGTGCCCAGAAAAGGCATTTAATGTCTAACACATCTTTCATGAATTTCATGACCTGCAGTGATCATTTTAAAGTTTCAGTTTAAAAGCTTTCTAATAGCCTTTTTTTTTTTGTTTAGTTGTTCTGCTGAGTCTCTCTTTCCTGGTGGTATGATAATTATACACCCTGCTGAGAGTAAAATGCTTTCAGAAAAGTGAATGTGATTGATAGTAACTGAAGGAAACCTTGGTTAGGCTTGAAGTCCTTATTTTGACCTGTTTACATTTTTGAATGAATTTATGTCTCATTAACAAAATTATTTTGCTACAAAAAGGCGACAAATCTGGGGGACGTTTGGGAATTGTACTGATCGCTCAGTAATTTGAAGAAATCTTAAATGATTTATAAAGCAATTAAATTATTTTTAGCAAATGTTTTTATTGTTGTTTTGTTTTTTTACTGCTGAGTGCCTCTCTTTGCTAGTGGTATGAAATTATACAACATGCTAAGAGTAAAGTGCTTTAAGCTTTTAAACTTAAGCTGACCTTGGATAGACTTGAAATCAGTATTTATTTTGATGTGTTTCCATTTGTTAATGAATTCCTACATTATCGTTAAGCCTCATTAACTAAATATTTTTTCTACAAAAAGTGACAAATGTCTGGGAACTTTACTGATTACTCAAATTAATTAAATGTATTTAAAAATTCAAAGATTTTACATTTTTAACAGCTTTTTTTAGTGGTACATTTAAATGAACAGACTGAAGGAACTTAGCCGTTGAAATAAATTAGACTTAAGTAAGAGATCGTTTGAAGGGAGTGTGTTTGATTATTACGTCAGCTCGCTCTGTTGTAAGACTGTGTGAGCAATAAAACGTAGCATAAAACATGTTGATGTACTGTTTTGTTTTATCTCTTCCTGTAAAAAAAATAGCTTGCTGCTGAAAAGGCTACACTGTTTTTAAAAAACCTGAGCTCCTGTTACACTACTGAAAAATGAAGTTAGTAGCATCACAACATTTAATTTACTCCCTAACACCGATGTTGAGACTAGTCTAGATTAGTCTAGTTAAGATTAAAGACCATAAGAATGACTAAATGCATGAACAACCATTAATAATAATATTACATGATTGAGGAGGGCGTGACTGTTTAGAATACTTTTTGTTAAGCATGTTTTTACTTGTAACGTGTACATGTCTGCATACATTGGCACTGCAGCTTTCTGGTCTGTCGAACTTTATATGCAGGTTGAAGAAATCTATTACCTGCACACTTAATTTCATATGCGTGTTTCATATTTGTGCTTTCCTAACTGTTTTCTCTTTCTAGGTCAGCTGATCTCAGATGACATCACTGAGGTCATCAGCAGATACAATAAGGAGTTTTTTACTCCTTACAGTAACCAGTTATCAACCAAGTCAGCCGGGGCTCAGTATGATGACAATTATTTGGGTAAGCCTGTTTGTGTCTTTTGTTTTGATGTCTCTTAAAGTTGTAATTTTGTTTTGTGGTGTTGCACTGTTACCTGGAAATCAGCAGTAGAGCTCAGTGTAATATTGGGTTACATATGTATTTAATGTTTGGGTGCTTTGAGTTGATAAGAATGTACAAAATTAAACAATCACTAGTGCAATGCAGATATTTATGTCATCATTTGATTCGGTTTTAGGTTACTCTGTGGCCATTGGTGATTTTAACGATGATGGTGAAGATGGTAAGATATTTAATCATTTTGATATGTTTGATTTTGGAAATGATATATAACAGTTTGGGATCCATAAGATATTGTTTTAAAGAAATTAATACTTTTATTCAGCAAGGGTGCATTTAATCGACAGTAAAGTCAAAAATGACGATAAAGACTTTCATAATGTTACAAAAGATCACTATTTCGAATAAATGCTGTTCTTTGTAGCTTTCTGTTCAGCACAGAATCCTGAAAAAAGTGTTTTATGGTTTCCAGAAAAATATTAAGCAGCACAACTTATTTCAACATTGATCGTTATAGTAAATCTTTTTAGTATACCAGTATATTATAATGGTTTCTGAAGGATCATGTGACACTGAAGACTAATGAGTAATGGCTGCTAAAAAATCAGCTTTGCATAGATTTGAAAATAGATTTGAATAGAAAAGAGTTATTTTAAATGATAATAATATTTCACAATATGAATGTATTTTACTGTATTTTTACAATCAGATGTTTGAACGGTAGTGCAGTTTTAAGCACCAACAACCACAAGTTGTCAGTGGCTTGATTTAGCTGATCTTTACTGACCTGCTCCAAATATCAGCCCTATAGTGTTGCAAACTGAAGTAGTGCATCATGGGAATTACTTAAATCTGATTTTTCTCTCCATTGGGATCAAGAAGCTTCTCTGCTAAATGAAAGCATTGTTGTGTCCAACTCATTTCTAATTCTTCCTGCCTCCCTAGATTATGTCACAGGAGTTCCTAGAGGGGAGAAAGCTCTTGGTTATGTGAGTTTCATACTATTTTGGTCAGGAATATGATGAGAACCCATTTAAAGTGATGCAACCCTGCTTGAAACAGCTTGCATGAATCTCTGTCTGGTTTTGTCTTGTTAGGTCAACATTTTCAATGGGAAGAACATGGAGTCTGTGTATAATTTCACAGGCACACAGGTGAGCATTACAAAAATGTTTACACCTCTTATTATTCTGTTAGACATTGTGATGTGTGTTATATGACAGGATAAAAGCATATATGAGCAGTCTTGCCTGTGAGCACCCTGCGGGTCACGTGACATGCCCATGCTTGTGGTCATGGCACAGTTATGTTTAACATTTGTTTATGAGCGGAGAGTTCATGTCCTAAATCCACTCCCACATCTGGAAGCTATTGACAGCAGTGTCGCCAACACACGAGAGCGAGAGCTGAAAAGAGGATGAGGTTTGGAGTCAGCAGGCCTGTGTTTTTGGCTGATTGTGATTGCTTCAGTTCTGATTCATCAACAGTTAATCAAGCTTAAGTCAACACAAGCTTAACAGAGATTTATGAGTCAAAAAGCTTGAAAACTGAATCTTGATATACTGTAGGGGGCACCACCAATACCAGTGATAATAATGATATATTAGTAGTAATAGTAGTAGTAGTATTGTTGTTGTTATGTTAGTCGATTTGAGTGTTATGGACAATAGCTTTTATGTAGACAAATATTTTAAATTTTTACTGTTTTTGTTTGTCTTAAAAAAAGTATTAAGTCTAAAGCTCCAGTTTAGTTATCTAGTCATCTTCAATTAAGTGTTTCTCTCTCTCTCTCTCTCTGTCCAACTTAGATGGCTGCTTACTTTGGTCATTCTGTAGCAGCTGTTGACATCAATAATGACAGGTAAGTGATGCTTTACACTCACACTCTGTTGGATGTTTTTTCTCATTGTGGGAATTCAGTATTTGTGAATCAAAAGCAGATCACTCTTTAACCTGGCCTTCAGGAAATCAGGCTCACAGACTTAAAGGGATACTTCAGTCAAAAATTTTAATTGTGTATGTACTCGCCCTTATGTTGTTTAAACCTGTATAACTTTCGTCTGTGGAACACAAAGAAAATATTTTGAAGAATGTTTCAACTGTTTGCCCATACATTGAAGGTCTTTGAATCTAAAAAAAAAACATTTCACAAAACCCAGTTTTCAAAACACGTGTTGGGTGAACGATCCCTTTATGGGCAAACAAAATAATAGTGTGCCTTCTGTCTTGATGCATAAAGACTATTAATCAAAGAGAAAAAATATGCAGACATTAAAAATGAAACTTGGAAAAATAATAACTTGAATAAAATGAGTAACTTTTATTTTATTTATTTTTTTTCACTTCATCAACCTTACTCGCCCTTATGTTGTTTAAACCTGTATAACTTTCGTCTGTGGAACACAAAGAAAATATTTTGAAGAATGTTTCAACTGTTTGCCCATACATTGAAGGTCTTTGAATCTAAAAAAAAACATTTCACAAAACCCAGTTTTCAAAACACGTGTTGGGTGAACGATCCCTTTATGGGCAAACAAAATAATAGTGTGCCTTCTGTCTTGATGCATAAAGACTATTAATCAAAGAGAAAAAATATGCAGACATTAAAAATGAAACTTGGAAAAATAATAACTTGAATAAAATGAGTAACTTTTATTTTATTTATTTTTTTTCACTTCATCAACCACATAATCTCTCTGGAAATCCACAAAAAAGGGTTACTATAGTTTTTAGCTTTTAATACATTTTTATGATCACTCTATCTGTTAATAGTGTAGTGATGTATGAGGCACTGCTCACACACAAGTCAATTTCAAACCAAGCAGCTTTCTCTTGGTCAGCACGGCAAATTTGCGTGACCAACTTCACCCTCACGCAAACCTCCCAATCACACGGATTCCTATTGAAATGAATGGAACTCGCCCGTGAAGTTTTGCAGAGCACCTTAATGTAGATTTTGATTATTAATGCACAAATGAGGGCCTTGCAGAACATCCGTTTTAAACTCAGATTTGCAGTTCAGATTACTGTGATAATATTTACCTGTTATACATTGTTGTATTGTCGGTATTTTGTTAATAAAATATAATATAATATAATCAGCTCTTCCCCAGTCCCTCTATTACTAGAACCAACTATCTGTTTAATTTTTTTGGGGAAGATATGGAAGTAGATGGCCTTTCTTACCTGGAGTATGATGTTCTGATGTTGTTGCTGTTACTGCAAAACTGATCTTCTGCCAGGAACATCAGGTCAACCTGCTGCCGTCCAGAATCAGGTGGTTTGTCTTCGTCTGGCATCTCAGCTGAGGCCTGTCCACTATGGGTGACCCTACAGTAGCTTTGAAGTACCAGTGGCGTAGCTCTCAGCATCACTGATGCACATGTGAGGGACCCTAACCTACCTACTCAACTGTTTAAAACAACCGCATGTCAACCAGCCACTCAAAACTTCCTAACAACCACATAGCGATGCATGAAAAAACACAGAAGAGTCCAGCAAACGCAACGCAACACACAAACAACTGTTTAGAAAACAATATGTACAGTATTTACATATGTAGGTCCCGCTGTGAGCTGCTGCATGTGGCACTGTGATGACTCGGTGTCTGGGCTTCTTTCTTCGGGGTTCCTCAGACAGAGGCTCTTCACTGACGTCCACATGGATTCGTGGAGCGAAGCGTCTGCTGGTGGTGAAGCTCTCAGTGATTAGGACGCGTCCATCTGGCTGCTCTGTCTGCAGCAGTGAAGGGCAGTTGAGCGTCTCCCACAGGCACTGCTTGATCTTCAGCCCCAGCTCAAGGCTGTAGGGACGCTGTCAAGCACAGCGTGTCTCCATCATGGGCTCCACAGAGCGGTAAATGTCCTGGTAACCCTGTATTCTGCAGCCGTGGATGGAGACAGTCTCTTCCTGCTGACACAGAGGCACTGGACACACGTCCACTGAAAGAGACTGAGGCTCCTGGACAGATGTCAGGAAGGACAGCAGCGTTCTTCAGATAGCGCTCTTCTAACCTGTTGGGTCTGTGAGCTTTGGCAGAGATGCAGCTGTAGGTGTAATTTAACCTGATGACAGCTGTAGGTGTGATTTAACCTGATGACAGCTGCCAGCTGTGAAAGCTCACAGGCCTCTTGAATGAAAGAGACGCCCTCCACCAAGAATCCCCTCAGGTGTGTGGGAAGAGCCCTGCTTCTTCTGGGGCGATGCTGCTCCATGAAGATGCCTAGAGAAACACTTTACAGATTTGACAAATTGATGAAACTCACCGAACTGTAGAGTTGAAGGCTTGTAGCATGTGATCAGGCTTCAAGGCTTTAGGGACAGTTGTGTTGATTTCAAATATAAACTCAATTTCAACTAAAGCTGCTGTTACTGACATAGAATGTTGAGGCTCATTTAAATGTAAACAACACTTACAAAGCAGTAAGTCAATTGACAATACACGAGACAACTTTTTTGAGCAATGTTGCACTTTCCCATTGAGAATGGGCAACACATTTCTATCTGGATACTTTAGATCGGTCATGTGGTCTCACCTGTGTCACCTGGTTGCCTGTTAACGGCAACATTTCTCAAAAAGTTGCCTCGTGTATCATCACCTATAGAGCAGCTTGAGCTCTATGATACACTTACTATACAGTATGCATCTCCATTTCAATTATCATCTTCATTTACAGTTTTCTGTATATATATGTATAAATATATATATATATATATATATATATATTCCTAATGTGTGTGTATGTAGTGGTGTCTGTAAAGGCCAGAATCAGTTAGTGGCTCATGGATGAATAAGTGCATATGAACAAATCTTTTAAGTGAACAAACCATTCTTGTTCACTTCCTAGCACTGACTCATATCATTTGCTCAAGTGTCTTCCTGTTGAAGCAAGCAACTGCTTTGGGGGCTTTTTTCCAGCCTCCAAAGACATCCAAAGTATTTAATTGGTTGGACCTACTGTATGAATGTGACTAAATGAATAGGGGGCATGTGATTTATTCAACAAGTGAGTCGATCTTTTTAATCAACAACAGAAAGGGGATAAAAATAATTAATTAAAGATTTTTATGAGAGTTTTGGGCATTTTAATTTAATGTTTTTTAGAAACCAGTTGAGAACCACTGCTTTAAATTATATTCATTTTAGGAATCCATTTTTATTACTCTGGGCCAAGTAAACCTAGCCTAAATATATGCACAACAATGTTTTGAGAACATTCACTGGCATTATTTAAAAAAAAATGAGCTGAGATCTGGACATCATGCAACAGTGAAGATATAGTTCCCTATGTTTTCCCGACAAGCATCTCTGTGCCTAAACATGTTGACCATTTTTGTTCAGGAAGGCCCCGTTTTTATCATGAGGTTGTTTTTATCCTCTTATCTTTTTTTTAGTTATGTGAATTCATTACAATCACTTTCAAAGTTTGACATTTATTCAACAGAATCTTCCAGCTGGTTTATGCTGGTTGGTAAGTGTGGTATGCTGATATTGATATGCTGATTTTTTATCTTAGAATAAACCCTTTATTTCCCCCTTTAGGAAGATGGATTTGTTGGTGGGGGCTCCTCTGTTCATGGACCGCGGCTCAGATGGGAAGCTGAGGGAGGTGGGTCAGGTCTATGTCTACCTAGGCAAAGGTGGCTTCACCTTCAACAATGTCATCAAACTCACTGGCTCTGAGATCTATGCTCGATATGGAAGCTCAGTCTGCAGCCTGGGAGACCTCAACATGGATGGATATAATGGTACTATTTTGACTTTCCTGTATTCTCTGAATTTCTGTGCTGTTCTTTTAAGAGCCCAAACTAGCTTCCAAGACAGACAGAGACAGTGCATATATAGTCATTTGTGGTCATGGTCGGATGCTGTTGTCACTGTCTTCCTCGTCTCATTGTGCAACCGTAATCATGACTCATGAGCTTTTTGAGCAATGGCTGTACGTACAGATAAAAACGCAGTACTGCCCATGGCAGTTACCCAATAAACAACTTCAAATGGTTTTATATTTAATCCCTTTGTTTTTTCTCAGATGTGGCCATTGCTGCCCCATATGGGGGGCAGTTCCACCGCGGCCTGGTGTACATCCATAACGGGCGTCCCACCGGGCTGAATCCTGCGGCCTCTCAAGTTCTAGAAGGAACATGGGCGTCTGCTTCTATGCCTTCTAGCTTTGGTTACGCCATGAACGGAGGCACAGATGTCGATCAGAATGGATACCCTGGTTAGATTCCAGCACATTCACACATCTTTTGCAATTAACTGATTACAGTCACTTCAATTCAAAGCTACTTCCTCTCCTACACTTCTACCGCCACTCATTCTTTTTCTCTCACACTCTCTCCTCTTATAGACCTGATTGTTGGGGTGTTCGGAGCTGACAAAGCCGTTCTGTACAGGTACAGTATGCTTATGCTTCACTTTGAAGTCACACATGCATTTGATAGACTTTTATGATCAGGGCCATTAAAGTTGGTTTCATTTAATCCAGCAGCATTTAATTTGCTTTATGTTCAAGTAGTGAAAGCAGTTACAGTCTGTATTAAAAGAAAATCACTGTGGAACATTTGCCATCATCTATTTGAGCCCACCCGGCTTAGATTTGCATTGTATTACATGTACTGTAGAAGCCCTAATGTACAGTCAGCTTGTCATTATTGCACAATAAGCTCTGGGTATTGAAAAACAGCTGTCAAAAGTTTAGTCGTACAATGTGAAACTACCTTCTCAGTCCATCAAGTCCATTAATGGTTACTAAGCTGCAAAATTGGATGATTCCGAATACCATACAGTATTGATGTCTCAAACATGAACATATTAATATTACCACACACCACATTTTAATATCACTGCTTCTTTAGTATTCAACATCTTGGATATGGCACTTAATTTTGTGAATTAGGCAGGAATTTTCATATGCAATGAGGATAACAAGTCATAAAAGAGGTCATTTACATATAGAAGTCCAAAAGGTACAGCAGCAAAAATAACCGTTTTTCTGGAAGTCATGTAAAACTAAACTGAAATGGTCATGTAAAACTCACAGAAAGATAATGTACAGTCATTTTCTTTTAATGTCTACAATCTTGCACTATAAGACTGATGATACCTGCTTGTTTTGTGTTCCTAGGGCTCGTCCGGTCATCAGTGTGAACAGCACACTGGATATAAGCCCACAAATCCTAAACCCTGAAGACAAGAGCTGCACCCTGCCTGGAACAACCACCACAGTATCCTGGTGAATGTTTTTTTTTTTTTATCAAACATTTTCAACCAAACAGCTATTGAAATATTTTGCATCTAAGTGGCGACATGTAATGATAGAAACATAATGGCCAAATAAAAAGTGCACTAAAATCATTGCAGTAATCACTTTGTTGCATCTTATATGCCCAGTAAAAACATAACAAATATATTGTGAATATCCCTAAAATATCACTAAACATTTTCTCTTTTTCTTTAAATGCACATTTAGATTATTTGAGGGTCGCTATTATTATTTTGTAACATTCTGCTTCTTTTAAAACCACAGTTGTTTGTGCAAGAATGCAGTAACGTATCACAGTCTGTTTAGAAATAGCTGTTTAAAGAAGTGATTTTCTTAAATAGAAATTAGCGTACATTTGGTACATCATCAGTAATATCTTTAAGATACTTGACTATTATGCACTGAGAATATCATGAAAATAATGGGAATTCTATTCAATACTTTCCCTTAGCTTCACTGTGAAATACTGTCTGAAGGCAAATGGCAAGGGAGCGCCATCTTCTCTTCGTAAGTACTTGTTTCTTTATATATGTAAATTATTGAAATGTGTAATATTCAGGAAGCTATTATTGCACGTAGTAGGAGCACAAGGTAGCTGTAAATGGAGTCCTGCTGTTGCGGTGTGTGTTATGAGCACTGCTGCGGGGGGAAACTAGAGCTCAACGTGTCAGGCATCAGTGTGTTTTGAGCCGGACGTACGGTGCAGAGCCGTTAAAAGCCTAGCGTCCGGTGCTCACAAAGCTTTCACATGGATCTCACAGTCTGGGGTGTAATGGCTACCAGACCCACAGCCCACTGTTCATAGACCACAGACCATGATGCCAATTCATTATTTCACTGTGCGCTTTGAAGTTCTCCTATGCTCTGGTTGAACTCATGGCTGCCGTTATGCAAGCTTAAGGTGCGGATGTGTGTATGGTGCAAGGCCTGTCATAAATGGATCTGCCGTGATCTAAAATACATAAACTGTGTGTCAGTTTAGTTGTTTTGTTTCGAGTAGGACATGTAATGGGTATATAGGTAAATACTACTGTTCAAAAGTTTGAGACCAGTAAGATTGTTTTTTTTTATTTACAAATGAATTATTTTTTTCAACGTTAAATTTATCAAAAGAGAGAGTGACAACGTTGTAATGATGCTAAAAATTCAGCTTTACCATTACAAGAATAAATTATATTTTAAAATATATTCAAATAGAAAATGGTTATTTTGAATCGTAAAAATATTTTACAATATTACCATTTCTTTATGTATTTTTAATCAAATAAATGTAACCTTGGTAAGCATAAAAAACTTGTTTCGAAAACATTGTAAACTAGTTAGTTTAGCTAAAAAAGTGATAATTTTTGTTTTCCACGACAGCATTCCTTTAAACATGTGATTTTTGCGATTTTTGCGACTTTGCTCTCTCCCACCTTCAATACGACTGAGGTGCCCTTGAGCAAGGCACCGAACCCCCAACTGCTCCCCGGGCGCCGCAGCATAAATGGCTGCCCACTGCTCCGGGTGTGTGTTCACGGTGTGTGTGTGTGTGTGTGTGTGTGTTCACTGCTGTGTGTGTGCACTTTGGATGGGTTAAATGCAGAGCACTAATTCCAAGTATGGGTCACCATACTTGGCCACATGTCACTTCACTTCATATAGTATAATAATAGGTATAGTCACTAGTTCTGTCCTACTTTATTTACCTCACTATGACTAGGCAGACACATTTCTGAATACTGAATAAGTGTTAATGTATCAGTGTGGGTGATAGTTTACCCATAAATTTACTCATCCTCATGTTGCTCCAAACCCAAATAGCGTTTGTTCTTCTGTAGAACATAAAAGAAGAGATTCTGAGAAATGACTTAGAGTTTGTCATGCAATGTAAGTCAGTGGGGTCCAGTATTACCTGGTTTCCAGTGTAGTTCAATCTCTTTAATGTCCTCTTTTGTGTTACGCAGAAGAAAGTAAGTCATACAGGTTTGGAATGGCATGGGTGTACTCTCCCTTTAAATAGAATGTTTTAAGCACTTGAAGTAGATTTTCAAAGTCAAGTGCTCATATGCCGCCTTTAAGTACAGCTGTTTTTATATATCTGTGCTTGTAACTAAAAGGCCCGTAGTGAAACTCTAAGATCTAAGAGCCATAACAATTGTGTCTTTTGAGCAAGACCATTAACCCCAGTTTATTCCAGGCAGACTGAACCAGAGATTTAAAGCAGCTGAATGCTTACAGAGATTCAGGGGTATCACTGCGTTTAAAGGTTTCATGGTTGACTGCTTGTGTTCTAAACAGTTTCATTTGCGTATTATATTTCTTTTGCTTGTTTCTTTTAAATGGCTTAAATTTCTTTTTAAGGAGCAACTCTGTTATGTGGAAAATGTATATAGCTCCCTTATTCCTTCTGAATTTACTGCTTTTTATTACTATTTGTGTTTCTCTCCATTATACTTGAAATGAAAAATTGACCTGGAAAACCCTTTCATTCAAAGATTTCCAAGTGGATTTGACCCTGGACCGCCTCAAACACAAGGGAGCCATTAAACGGGTCCTGTTCCTCCATAACAAGATGCCTCATTATTCAAAGAACATGACTGTCTCCAACAGACAGGGACCAGCCTGCGAGGAGCTTCAGGCTTATTTAATAGTGAGCAAATCCATTCACATTTATGCATTTGATGATGTTTTTTTATCCAAAGCATTTTGCAGTGCTTGCAAGGTATATATTTTATAGGAAATCAAACACATGACCTAGGTGTTCCTATTGTAATGCTCTACCAGTTGAGATACAGGAACACACAGAATCCCTGTGTGACTCATTCACTTCTGCTGGTTATGCCAGTACTGGGCTGTGAAAAGTTTAGTGTAGTTTTGCTTTATTTGGCCAACTGAAGAAGTGCTGATGCCTTTATGTCATGAAATATGTGTTTGCTCTGTGCTTAAAGCTGTAGTGGCAGATAGCCCAGATGTTTGGCACTGGAATATGCCATTATTTTGTTTTAAAAAAAGGAACAATGTGTTACAGAGCTAAAGAAGGATTTGACCTGGAAAGCCAAAGCTCTCTTTCTTGGACATAAAAGAGCATGTTGTAGAGCTTGTAAGCTGGACTGAAATTCCCCAGCCTTGAGCTCATTGAACTAGAGGCCCAATTTATCTGTCCATCCACTCTCTACCTCTCTCTCTCTTAACAGGATGACTCAGAATTCAGGGATAAGATCACACCCATTTCTGTTTTTATGGAGTACAGCTTGGATTACAAAACAGCAGCAGATAAGACCGGCCTGTTGCCCATCCTTGACCAGTCTACACCTACAAATGTCACTAAGCAGGTACAGCTGTTACCTACACTAGACCTCTGGTTACAGGGGCACTACATATACACTACATACAATACAAACGACTGGAAAACCATGGGAATTCATTGGTCATAAAGTGTGGGAACCCTAAACTAGATGTTATATTGTGCAGAAGCCGCTCAAAAGATAAATCTTCCACTAGCCATTAACAAAGACTTACATGCTGATTTACAACAAACAATTAACATTAAATAGCACTGGATAAAAATTAGAAACTCACTTTAATTTCCTATACTCCCTTGTGACTTTCCAGGCCCACATACTCCTTGATTGTGGTGAAGACAATATTTGCAAGCCAGACTTGAAACTGTCTGTTGTGAGGCGAGTCATTGTTTCATTTGAGCCTTAATTTCCACTGCAGTGTCTGCTGGTGTGGTGCTGGAGATTAACTTTGTGCTTTTGATGTTTTGTGCTCTAGTGACCAGAAAGAGATCTACATAGGTGATGATAACCCCCTGACCCTAGAGGTCACAGCAGAGAATGCAGGAGAAGGGGCATATGAGGCCGACCTTACTGTCACCCTACCATCTCAGGCAGATTTCATTGGAGTCGTGCGTAACAGTGAGGTGAGCAGTGACCCATCTACACCTCATAAAGTGCACTGTCCTCCCTACTGTGACCTCCTGTAATGAGACACAACTAATGTTGAATTAAAAGAGCTGATTTAACAGAAGTTCCAGGTTTAATAACAATTAGTTTGTTTGGTTTAGTTTGGACAGTAGTTAGATCGCTTAAAGTAAGATTTATAAGCGCTTTAAAAAAATACAAGCTGCAAATTGCTTTGGAAAGCATTGCCTCATTAAGATAATTTAGTGCAATTAAGTTGGAATTATTTCGATTTATCAATAGCAATACCACAGTTACTGTCTATGAAGCACAAATTTTGTTGAATCAGAGCACTAAAAATTAAAAGGGTTAGGGTTGAAGAAAATAATTCTTTTGTTCAGCAAGGGGCACTAAATTGATCAAAAGTGACTGTAAAGACATTTTCTATAGTTACAAACTATTTATATTTCATGTGTGTGTGTGTGTGGTGAAGTCATTTAAGATCTGTTGAGGGTTCTTTTGTTATTTCTGTATTTCAGACATTGTCTAGACTGTCCTGTGCCTTCAAGAAAGAGAATCAGACCAGAGTGGTGGTGTGTGATCTTGGGAACCCAATGAAAGGAGGAACTAAGGTAACCAACAGACTTTCTGAAGTGAAAGTCTGAAGTGTCTGCATATGTATTTGTACCAAAAGTCATTTTATTTTTAATGTTGCTTACTGTAACATAAATTAGCTGTTTTATTTCATTTCATATTTTTCTGTAAAATTGTGGTGTTTGTGTAGATAATAACAGGATTGCGCTTCAGCGTGCACCAGCTCTCTGAACAGGATACAGAAGTCAAGTTTGACTTGCAGATACAGAGGTATTTTAATTAATTAATATATTGCTTTTACAGTAATATCGTTTATAGATTTGCTTGTGCAATGTTAATTAAATTGAGTTTGGTGGGCCATTAGAACAAATGTAAAGCAAGGACACTCTAAACATATATTTTCACTTCCTGTCTTTTTATTTAAATCAGTAAAACTTCAGACAGCATTTGCTTCTAATGCTGCTGTTTCCTGCTGACTGCCAGTGTTTGTTTTTTTTTAAGTGTTAATTACAGGGAACTGCTCTTTTTGTGTCTTTTTCTACACATCCTCATGTCTTTGCCTGTCTTTAGCTCAATGATTTATAGTGCATTTCTGAAACACAGAGTGGAGTTTATGGAGTTTTATCTGTAAATTAATTAAATGTATTAGATTTTGAAACAACAGCACCGCCTATTGCTTGATTGTGGAAGTTAATAATTCCCTTCTGCTTTCAGCTCAAATCAGTTCAACAATACCAGCAATCTGGTGTCTGTTGTCACACAGCTTGCTGTGCTGGCCAAAGTGAAATTAAGAGGGTATGATCATTTAAATCATATTTCTGTTAAACAAATGTGACTTTTTAAAATCAGCATGAAATGCCATTTAGAACACATTTTACTTTAGAGTTGCTTTACACCAGTATGCAATGCATGAATGCAAGTACAATGGTTTGTGTGTATCCACACAGGATTGTGGGAATACCGAGTGTCAGGAGATTAAGTGTTGGGTCGGCCGGCTGGAGAAAGGCCAGAGTGCTATTCTGTTTATTTACTCCAGACTCGCCGTGAGCACGTTCCTCAAGGTAAAAACAATTCAATTGACTAACACCACAAAGCCTTAAAGATCTTTAATATACTGTTTTCACTGCACAAATGCTAATACACATAAAACACAGCAGTGGTTTTCTTTCCTTTTAGGCTGAAAGTCAAAACAAATCGTACAATGTTCGATCCACAGCCTCCTTCAGTGTCATAGAGATGCCATATAAAAATCTCTTTTCTGAGCTCCCAACCAGCACGACATCAGTAAGTTTCTATGATCATCAATGTAAACGGGACATAACAGGATATACTTTCTTTTTCTTGGATTTTCTTGAGTCAGAAAGTGAGTGGAATGGTTATGTGTAACTACTGTTTATGAAACGAACACATTTGTGTGCCAGATATATGGTGTTTTTAACTGTCTGCACTGATCATGACAGAGGGTTGTATGGTGTCAGTGTCATAATCACACGTCTCTGTCCTACAGGCCTCTCTGAAGGTGATCTGGAATTCAGAGAACCCTCAGCCTGTCCCAGGATGGGTGGTGGCTTTGGCTGTCCTGGCTGGACTTCTTCTCCTGGCTTTGCTCATCTTTGTCATGTATAAGGTGAACAGCTGTAAACATGAGTTAAATTACTTGGACTGATTGATAGTTTGATGGACTATGGATATCAGAAGCAGCGTTGCCTAGTCCTGTCTGTAATCAATAAAATATTAATTAATATTTTTAGCCCCTAATGAGTGACTGTTACTTGCATTTCCATGACCTTTTCAATAGTTATTTATTTATTTTATTAAAGGGGTCATATGATGTTGCTAAAAAGAACGTTATTTTGTGTATTTGGTGTAATGAAATGTGTTTATGTGCTTTAAGGTAAAAAAAACACATTATTTTCCACATACTGTACATCATTGTTTGTCCTTTATGCCCCGCCTTTCTGAAACGCGTCGACTTTTACAAAGCTCATCGGTCTGAAAAGCGAGGTGTGCTCTGATTGGCCAGCTATCCAGCGCGTTGTGATTGGCCGAATACCTCAAGTGTGTGACGGAAATGTTACGCCCCTTACCATACTGTGATGCCGTGTCCTGGCCGGAGCGATGAGACAAAAACATTAAAACCCATTATAAACGAGGCATTTGTTGCATCCAGTGGGGACATAATTACGGATTATAATGACTTATAAAAAATACTGTCTTTTTACGCGTTGCGTTGCATCGTGCTGCGTAAACATAAAACCATGTCTGCATTTGTGATCAGAGAAATGACAAACAACAAGTACTACTCTACACTGCTCAAAACTCGCGTTTGAATCGTCAGTGGCAAATCCTTTAAATGAAAACATATTTACAGTCTGTGAGTCAGAACAGCCGGCATTATGGTCTACTCTTCCAGGATCCGGAAACAGTCCTCCATAAAATGTGCTGGACACATCTGAATATTTGGGTTGAACTGTTCTGGAACAGTGTTGTAAATACAACTTAACCACTGGTTTCTAGTCGTGTCCTCTTTTGGAAGACCAAACAAAGTAGTTTCGCTTTCACAACGAAGCACACAGCGTCTTCACGACATGGTGGCAGCAACAATACTACAGCGAGAATAAAAGTTGCGCCTTCTTTCTTTGCGTGAACATTTGGGCGGCGTTATGCAAATCTCCCCACGACACGAGCCGTTTTAGGTAGGCGTGGTTGACTCTTAACTTTTATAAAGAATATCTCTTTGGATTTGAGACTTTAGTCTTTGCAACTTTACAGATCTTCTTTATGCACCAAGAGCTTGTAACACTCCAAAGAGAAAGGAAAAATTTTAATTGCATCATATGACCCCTTTAAATGTAAAAATAATATTTTATATTTTTATATTTAAAAAATATTATATCTCTTTTGATTTTTATTAAATGTTCATTGCTTGAACAGTCAATTTTCAATGGTATTTGTATCAGAGATGTAAGTTTTGGTATTGAACTATGCACACACATATCAGTGACTGGTTTCATCTTGATTTCTCCTCCTCAGATGGGCTTCTTTAAACGTGTGCGGCCGCCCCAGGATGACAGCATAGAGAAAGAGCAGCTTCAGCCTCAGGAGAACGGAGACAGAAACACAGAAGCCTGAGCTCTTCATCTTCACTAGCCTATCACAGTGCCAAGGCAGGAATGTGCCTGATTTACACCAATGCTGATGAGAATACAACACTACGTCATCTTTATTAGCAGGTCAGCATTTAATCATGCAGACAGCCCTGATGAGTGAGATGGCTGTCGTCATTTGAATGGTACATAGCTGAGGTGGTTTGAATAACCATGATGCTCTCTTAATAAGACTAAATCCCTGTGCCAGTCCCTTTTCCCTTTGCTCCTGTCCTTCTTTAACTGCACTGAGTCTTAAGACGAGATTTGATTTTCAGTTGGGCATAGAGAATTAACACATTTAAAATCATAATACATTTCAAATTGTTTACAAGAAACAAAAATAAAAGTAATGAATCTTAAATAATAGAAAATGAGATCATGATTTTTACAGTTTTATTTTGTGGAAAGATGTGACGTAGTTTGGCACATCATTAGATTGCTGGTTCTGCTTCTTCTGTGGGAGAATCTTCTGTTATATTATTTTCACAGCTCATTTTCTGCTGTTTGGGGCTTTCTGCAGGACTCTGGACTTCCAGTTCTTATCTGTTTTCTTTGCAGTTGTTTCAGCTGTTGGGATTTGGACTCTTGATTTCTTATTTGGGCGTAAAAGTGTATTATTTTGAGAAAATATTCTTAAGTCTGTCTACTGTAAACACATTAATTTAGAGCAGGGTTGTGTTTGTGCATTTAGAGCGTTTGGTTGAATCTGTATTATAAAAAGAAAAAAATATCTTTGCACAATAGAGCAATAAATACAATTGTAGCATTTTTGCATTTTGAATAAAACCCCTTATGGAAAGAGCACCTTTATTATAATGTTTTAATTCCCCTTTAGTTTTAATATTCCTCTTGGTCACAATCTAAGCAAAGTATTTTTTTTAGATGAAAGATTATCGGTTTTACCCAAATACATGTTGATTAGAATAAAAAAAAAATCTATTTAGTGTAATGTATCCCAATTAATATTAATTGATAAGAATAGAAAAGTTTGATGGCATGGAAAAACTGAGGCTGGAATCCTTAACAATATTGGCCTTTTTTTCAATTGTTTCGTTATATTGAAAACAGTTATTTAACTAATGATTTATGGTTTAAAGGTTGCGGTTCATAGTTATTGGTCTTAATTTTGACTTCAGATATACTGAAATAACAACCCATAAACACTGAAAAACCTGGATTTCTTATGTTGCTGTATTATAGTAATGCTGCTGCCCATATGAATTTACCCATATTGGGTTGCCATAAGTATGTTGTCTAAATGAAAAATTGTATACATTTATAATTCAATCAAAATTATGCGTTTTCCACAAATAAAATGATCCAGAATATATTCTCTTTTGTTTGTAAAGTTTGTAAAAATAAATGTATTTTTGAGAATCTACCATGTTTAAAACAGATCACTGACTCTTGACTTTTTGACTTTCCTTTTCTTTTTTTCCCCCAATTTTGTTTGGCAACATGCTGTTAATGCTTGTGTAATTCAATAAACCGATATACTGATGTAGTAGGAATTGTTTTGTTTGTTTGTTTTGGTAGTTGGTCTTATGAATATAGCTTTATTTCTGGTGTCTAAAGCTCCTGTTATCATAACACAGTTTTCTAATCTACAATGATGAACTTGACCTCACAGGACTTGTTTAGCTGTTAACAATTATCTGGTTGATGAATAACCAACTGCAGGCTTTAAATTCAAGAATAATCGTCTTTAAATTCTACAGTGCTTCCATAGTTTTTGTCCTTGTGTACTTGAAACAAAACCGCTGTAAATAAGTTCTGCGCTTGTAATGAAGAACTGTAAAATTAATTGTGGATTTGATCATTTATTGTAAAAATGTTTGCATTGTACATAATGTAGAAGCTCACTGTGCATCTGTTCGTAAGAAGCTGAGATCACTGCCCGGTTCATAACCTGTAGTTTGCGTCCCCCTGAGAAAGAAACCCACAGCCTCAGAAAAAAATAATGCCAAATAGGCACAGTAAGTAGGAAATAGGATTTGTCATGATTGTTTTCTGTTATATTTTGCATGTGCATGAGCAAGAGTCTCTGCATTACCTCTGGAACAGTCGTGCTTTGGTGCACCCAAGTAAGGTGGTGTAGCGTCTGGACCAATCAAACACACAATATATATTTTGTTTTTATATTTAACAAATACTCTGTA